TAACACGCAATTTACCTTTTAATTTTTTTTTCTTTCTCCCTATTCTCCCAAGTGGAACTCGAAATCTTTTGGTGTGATCCTGCTGCTTAGCTTTAATGGAAGCCCCCAGCCCCTGGGGGAGGCAGGGTTCCTTAGGCAGCGGTGTGCCACTCCATTAAGCGTCCTTGCAGGGTAGTTTCAGGGGTGGGGCGTCTGATGCCCACTTCCTAGTGTGGGGCCGAGGGGCTGCACTATCCCTAGGCAGACAGCGGCCATGCCTTAAGAAGCAGAGCTACCTTTTTGTGCCTGCAGGGATCCTTCTTGCCCAAATCAATAGGTGTACATGCAGTCCGCCCCGCCAGGAGCCTAATCCGAGAGCGGATTAGGTTGAGGGTGAGGGGACCGTGGGCAAGGGAACACTGCTGCTTTCAAATGTATTCCTCGATGTCCCTTTGTTGTCATCCGCAGAGACGCCACATAGAGACAGCCATGGTGGACCCCGTGCCTGCAGAGAAGGCGAGCACCGAGCCCCGCGCCTCAGGAGGAGGTGAAGCCGCCGCCGCGGGGCCCCCAGATGCCCAGGACGCGCGGCAGCCCGCGGCTGGCACGGCCTCGACCTCGGTGCCCTGCAAAGCGGAGATGGCGTGCTTGGCCGAAGGCGGGCGGCGAGAGCAGTCCCCGCTGCTGCACCTCGACCTCTTCAACTTCGACTGCCCCGAGGCCGAGGGCAGCCGCTACGTGCTGACCAGTCCCCGCTCGCTGGAGGCCTGTGCCCGGTGCGCCGTGAAGCCGGTGGAGCTGCTCCCGCGGGCCCTGGCCGACCTGGTGCGCGAAGCCCCCGGCCGCTCCATGCGGGTGGCCACGGGCCTGTACGAGGCGTACGAGGCGGAGCGACGCACCAAGCTGCAGCAGTGCCGGGCCGAGCGGGAGCGCATCGTGCGCGAGGAGAAGCGGCGCCTCTTCACGCCGCTGGGCGCCGCCGCCCCCGCCCCGGGCGCAGCCAGCAGTGGCAGCTGCAGCAGCGCCAGCCTGCCGGCCTCGCCCGCGCCGCGCGCGGCCCGAAAAGCTTCCCCCAGCCTCTCCCCGGCCCGGACCCAGCCTCCGCCCGCGGGCTCGAGGGCCGGCAAGAAGAGCCACTCGCTGGACTCGCTGTCTCGCCGACGCGACGGCGCCCTCAGCTCCGAATCCGCCGCGTCGTCGTCGTCGTTCAGTGGCGAGAGCCTGCGGGACGTGCGCTGGCCCACGCGGGCCTCGGCCAGGCACAGCTACCCAGCCGGCACGGCGTCCTCCGCCCCCAACCCTTCGGGCTGCCCCTCCGCCCTGCCCTTGGTTCCGATCACGGGCCGCAGCTTCAGCCTGGGCGACCTGAGCCACTCGCCGCAGACTGCCCAGCACGTGGAGCGCATCGTGCGGCAGGTGCGCGCCGAGCGGGGCCTGCGTGGGGTGCCCGAGCGCGACCGGAAGATCGCAGCGCTCATGCTGGCGCGGCACCAAGAGGAGCGCCTGCTGCGGGAGCAGCGCGCCGTGGCCCACGGGCAGTGGGAGCAGCAGCGCGTGCACGCCAAGCAGCGGCGTGAGAG